TCAGTCAAGGACCCAGCACCTGTGTGGACTGCGTTTCAATCGCGGGCAGTCTGGTTCACGCGCGCCCCGCTTCTGCCTCTCTGGGGGTGCGCCTTTCCAGCCCATAATGGAGACTACGGAACGGGGAGGGAGTTGGGACTCCCTGGTTCCTCCTCTCATTCTTTCAGCAATGCCTCCATCTCCAGTCTCTCCTCAAGGCTCTCCCAGCCAGTCTGCACTCAGCCCCCCAGCTCACAAGCACAAGCTGTGTGAGGAGTGCACAAAAGGCAGGTTAATTGTTTCCCTTATGCGTGAGTGAGATGGTAGCTGCAGAGTGGGAGGTGCGTTATCACCGGGGCTCCACCAGTGGCTGTGTCAGTTCTCTTCACAAAGTTTCCCTCACCAGTCTTTTCCTAGGCACCAGCCCACCCTGCTGCCGCCCCTAACCAGTGATCAAGCAGGGTGGCTGCCACTGCAATTTTTGCGTTTGCCCTTTAAATGTCTCTTTGCATCCCCAGCCACCTGACTCTGGCAGAGATTGCCCCTAAGCTTTTTGGGGTTGCGTTTTGTCTGTATTTTCTTGGTTTTAGCTGCTGTAGTTTAGGGGTCCCTGTTTATGATTCAGACCCTGTTCTTCTCGGGGGAAGCTAACTGGCCATTTCAATGTCCCTCTGGTGCTAGTGCCCGTGGGCACCAAACCCACACTCTCGGGCCTCCACCGTACTTCTCAGCCATTGGGATGTGTGAGAGTTGAATCCACTGTCCGTCTGTGGCTTCAAGGCTCCTCTCTCACTATTGTTCCATTGTTTTCCAGGTGATTATTCCACTATTTAGTCGCAATTCCAGTTTGGTCTTGGGAGGAGGTCAGCATGACTCCCATTCAGTCCTCTGCCATCTTAATGATCTCCTGATTTTATTTATAAGACCATCTTTTCACTATCTCTGAGCTAGGTCACCTACTCAACCCTTACTTCTAATCGCCTTGGCTGGAGGATTCTCCAATTTGTCAAAGTCCTTCTTAAAAATTATTATTTTCAATGTGATTTATTAATCTAGGTAGTTGAAACAATGAAGAAAAATCAATATTATGTTAAAATTTAGGGTAATGTCATACATAACTCTGTTAACTCATGGAGTTAGAGGTCAACTAAAATTCTGAGGGAAAAAAAATTTTTTTAGAATTCTGGCCATGATGGAGCCATAGGTAGATACAGTTTGCCTCCTTGCACAACCAAAAGAACAAACAAGAAATTTAAAAACAAAAAATAACCAGAACTGCCAGAAAGTTGAACTGTATGGAAGTACAACAACCAAGGAGTTACAAAAGAAACATTCATCTCAGCTGGTAGGAGGGGTAGAGGTGGGCAGCCTAGGTTGAAAAGACATGCATCAAGGTGGCATCTGGAGGACCTAGGTAGGTGAGGCAGCAACTGGTGGACCAGGTGATCCCACAATTTTGTGCAGATAAACTGGGAGGAACAGCTGGGGAGTGAGACATAGAGCATAATCCGGGGTTCCAGTGCAGGGAGAGAAAGCCTCAAAACCTCTGCCTGTAAAAATCTGTGAGGAATGAGGCAGTGGGAGAAACTCCCAGCCTCACAAGAGAGTTCTTTGGAGAGACCCACAGGGTCCTAGAAAGTACACAAACCCACCAACCTGGGAATCAGCAGAAGAACCCAATTAGCTTGTGGGTAGCCGGGGAAGTAACTAAAAGCCAGTGGAGAGCTGAGCAAGTGACATTTTTCCCTCTTGGACCCCTCTCCCACATACAGCATCACAACTTAGCAACCTGAGTTGCCCTGTCCTGATGAATACCTAAGGTTCTGACCCTTCCAACATAACAGGTGCACTGAGACAAAGAAATATGGCTCAAATGAAATAAAAAAAATCACAGCTCTAAAAATAGAATGAAGTGATGAACAGATAGCCAACCTACCAGAAGCACAGTTCAAAACACTGGTAATTGGGATGCTCACAGAAATGGTTGAGTATGGTCACAAAATGGAGGAAAAAATGAAGGCTATGTAAAGTGAAATAAAGAAAAATATACAGAGGCCCAACAAATAAAAGGAAGAAAACCAGGACTCAAATAAATGATTTGGAGTAGAAGGATGAGATAAACATTCAACCAGAACAGAATGAAGAAACAAGAATTCAAAAAATTGAGGAGAGGCTCAGGAACCTCTGGGACAATTTTAAATGCTCCAACATTCAAATCATTGGAGTGCCAGAAGGAGAAGATGAAGAGCAAAAAATTGAAAACTTATTGGAAAAAATAATGAAGGAGAACTTCCCCAATCTGCCCAAGGATATATACTTCCAAGAGATCCAGGAAGCTCTTGGAATCCTAAAGAAGTTGGATCTAAGGAAGCACACACCAAAGCACATCATAATTACAGTACCCAAGATTAAAGATAAGGAGATAATCTTAAAAGTAGCAGGAGAAAAGGGGACAGTTCCTACAAAGGAGTTCCAATAAGACTCAGCTGATTTCTCAAAAGAAACCTTGTAGGTAAGAAGGAGCTGGAAAGAAATATTCAAAGTCATGAAAGGTGAGGACCGATATCCAAGATTACTCTATCCAGCAAAGCTATCATTTAGAATGGAAGAGGAGATAAAGTGCTTCCCATATATGATCAAGTTGAAGGAGTTCATCATCACCAAGTCATCCCCATATGAAATGTTAAAGGGACTTATCTAAGGAAAAAAAAAATTCAAGAACTATGAACAGTAAAATGACAACAAACTCACAACTATCAACAACTGAACCTAAAAAACAAAAACAAAGTAAGCAAACAGCTAAAACAGGAACTGAAATTAAGATTGGAGGGGAGGGAGAAGGGGGAGAATAGGACAAAAAGTAAAGGGAACAAGAAGCATAAATAGTATGCACAAAATAGACAGGAGGATATTAAGAATAGCATAAGAAATGGAGAAGTCAAAGAACTTTTACGTACAACCCATGGATATGAACTAAGGGGGTGATGCTGGTGGGAGTGGGGTGTAGGGTAGAGGGGAATAAAGGGGAGAAAAAAATGGGACAATGGTATAATAACATAATCAATAAAATATATATTAAAAATAAAGTTGTTATACAAATAACAATTGCTCTCTTTATATTTGTAATATTTTAATTTTAGACCAGAATTTTACTCTTATGCTTGATGAAATTAATCTTAGCTTTTCTCATTGTTCAAAATATTTAGCTAATTTTAAGTTTCATTATCAAACATATTTTAAACCATTCCTTCTTGCTTTGTGTCATTTGCTAATTTTAAATAGCACAGTTTGTAGCTTCATCAAATCTTGATGGAAATCTAGAACAGGATATATGGAAAAAAAGTCCTATGAGGTTTACTCCATGCTAGTGTCCTGCAGAGTCATGGGCTAACCTAACCCTTGGGCTGACTCTGCCTTACTGTCCTACCACCAAGGTGTTGCCAGTTCATCTTATCTCTGTGTCTTTCTGTCTGGAGTATATCTTTTCTGTCCACACGTCCATCCAAGGGGATGACATCTACTCCCACAGCTTAAAACACATCAGTATGCTTATATGCCCACATTTATTGTTCCAGCTTGGACCTCTCTCCTGAACTCAGAACTATATATCAAACTGCCTATGTGACATTCCAGCTGGAGTCTAACTCTCACCTCAGGCTAACACAGCCAAAAACAAGGAGTCTCTTTGTACCCTGTTCACCTTATACTAAATTTCCTATTTTGTAAAATACATCCAGGTCTTCCTGTTTGTTAGGCTCAGATCCTTGGCATCATCCTTGATTCCTTTCTCTCTCCCTTAATCAAACAGCAAAAACTTGGGCTCTCTTCTCCAAATCCATTCAATATTTGGCCCTTGCTTAACATTTCAGCTCCTACTACTTTGGGTCCAGTCGCTGTCATCTCTTGCACAGGTGGTTACAATAACTCCTATTGGGCCTTCCTCTGGTCTATTTTTCACCCACCAGGATGGTTGACATTTTTCAAACAAATCTCAGATAGGTCACCTTCTGCTCAAGGTCTGCCATGATTTTTGTATCAGAGTACCATCCAGAGTCTGTGTTGCAGCCTCCCTCCTCTCTTCCTCATCACTGTGCCTTAGATCCAGTCTCCCAGCTCAGGGCTTCCTGCCACCTTTACTCTTGTGATCTCTCTAACCCCTTCCTCCCTTCCGTCCTCCCATACTCTGTAGGGCTCACTCCCTTGCTCCTACAGCTTCTGTTCAAATTCTCAGTGCATATCATCTTCCCTCATCTATTTCCTTTTGTTTACAGCATTACCACTTCCACATAGTATATATTTATTTTTACTTCTCCTCTTTTGGAATTTAAGCTTAATTTGTGTGAGTATTTATTTTAAAATCTTGTATTATCAGTGTCTGGAATGGTGCCTAAAATGTAGTGTGGACTTAATAAATATCTGTGAATGAATGAATTAAATAGATAGACCACTGAGTGTCCCACAAAGAATCACTTTTAGGTGAGAAAAACATATCCAATGTAAATCTAAGGAGAGGGTACTAAGATTAAAAACATTCAAAAAGTTAAAACTTTCTGTGTTATGCATTTTTAAAAAGAACCCTTTAAATTTGAATTTATCCATCTAACAAGTTTAGCTCCAGAGCATTTGTACAGAAGACAAGAGTAGGGATGGTTCTCCTATTGTCAGACCTGTCCAGATTAACCTGGGGCCTGCCTGTCAGGTATTATCTGCCCACATTCAATAATGGGAAGACAGAGATAGTAGCAGATTGCTGAGTATGATGATAGTTAAATTAACATCAGAAAGACCTGAAGAAGTCTTTCTCTTTGACTAATTAAGAGAGAAGGCCTCTAAAGAATAAGACATTAGCTGAAGGGAAAGCCGTAGTTTATTTGACTCTAATCCTATGTAACTTCTCCAAATTATTTTGATTTTTGTTAAAACATAAGAGAAAACAGTCTTAAATGCTGTGGACAGCAAGAGGTTAGATTTTACATAGAAATAGCTATGATGCCTTTCTACTCATCATAAAAGGACTTTGCCTTGAACAAGTCAACTTTGCTGAGAATATTGAAGTTCACATCCACGGTGAGGGCTAACTGCATTGTGGTGGGCAGGGCCGCAATCAGGCCTGACTCTTCTTTTTACTGGTAAACACATCAACTCACAAAGCAGAATAATTAATAAAAAACATCATCAAGTTATGAGAAAAAAGAAAAAATGAACAAAATGCTAACTTTTTATAAGTAAACAGCTACATCAAATTCTATTTTCATGAGATCTACTGGTCACACATGCCTATCACAGTAGCACTATGACCAACTGCTGAGGATATAACAGTTCTGAATAAACCAGATCATGTATTTGCTGAAACTTTAGATAGAGTTTAGTGGCCACGAGGCAAAAACTAGTAAGTTGAGAGACTAGAATGGGAAAAGATCTACTTCCTGTGTTCTTAATCTGTGGATTTTAGCCCTGGTAGCCTAGGGATGATAATGAGTACCATGTGGCATATAAAATCTCAGAGCTCTGCCATTATTCTATTTGACATTTTTCACAACTCTAAAGTAAGTTTCTCATTCCTACTTGGCAGAAAGAAGAAACAGAAAGAGAATGACGCTCAGAGACTGGCTCAGTCGTGCATAATTTGTGGGCAGTTCAGCTGGGAATGAAATCTAAAGAAGAAATGTTCTCAGTGTATTCAAATTATTATTATTTATTTGTTTATCAAACTTTTCTACCTGTGAATGAAATGATGGTCCTTCACGCAGATGGACTGTTCCATAAACAAAACTGCCCATTCTTAGTGTCTAGAATGTTACAAGTTTCTGAGAATTGTTCATTTTTGATATTTTATATCCATTTAGAATAGAATAATTGCTATATTATAGTCTAATTTGGACTCCTATATTAGTTCCAAATAGGAAAATCCTTTCTATAGAAGCACATATCCTTGTTCTAGAGGGAAGTTTTGTCTTCAAATTCAGTGCCGAGTCTCTTAAAACAAGCAAAAAGGTGGACAAAGGTCCTACTGTTAGTAGCCAGGGGTTCTTATCTGCTCTTTTATAACCCTTGTGTTTTGAGAATTGCATTGTGTTTTGCATTCTAGAGGCTTTTCTGGCTTCTTGGTGGCACTAGTTCCTCTTTTTAGTAACATGCAAGGGAGCCCCGATACAGCTAGCAGCTGACTTCTCAACAGAAACACTACAAGCCAGAAGGAGATGACAAGAAATATTCCAAACAAAAACCAAAGGCCTGCAGCCAAGACTATTCTATCCAGCAAGGATCTCAGTTAAAATGTAAGATGAAATAATGAATTTCCCAGGCAAAAGAAGGATAAAGGAATACACCTCCACCAAACCAGAACTACAAGATATGCTAAAGAGACTACTTTAAGAAGATGAAGAAAAAGAATGAGAAAGAGAGGATCACAGGTTCAAAGGGAAAAGATGAATAGGTACCTATCAGTAATAACTTTAAATGTAAATGGATTAAATGTCTGAATCCAAAGACATAGGATAGATAAATGGATAAAAAAACAAGACCCACACATATTCTGTCTGCAAGAGACCCACTTCAGAATATAGGACCCACACAGATTGAAAGTGAAAGGATGGAAAAAATAATCCAAGCAAATGAACAGGGAAAAAAGCAGGGGTGGCAATAATTATATCAGGCAAAAGAGATTTCAAAACAAATACCATAAAAAGAGACCCAGAAGGACACTTTATAATACTCAAAGAAGACATAAAGAAGACATCAAGATGACATAAACATTGTAAATGTATATGCACCCAACATAGGAGCATCCCAATATATAAGGAAAATGTTGGAGGACTTCAAGAAAGATATATACAGTAACACACTGATAGTAGGGGATTTTAACACCCCACTGTCTACAATGGATAGATCTTCCAAACAAAACATCAACAAGGATATTGTGAAACTGGATGACACACTAGATCAAATGTACTTAACTGGCATATATTGAACCTTTCATCCCAAAGAATCTAAGTACACATTCTTTTCAAATGCACATGGAACAGTTTGAAAGAGAGACCACAATGTAGGACAAAAACAAGCCTCAAAAAATTCAGGAAAATCAAAATCATAGCAAGCATTTTCTTGGACCACAACGGCTTGAAAGTACAAACCAACCTCAAAGAAAAATCTCAAAAACATTCAAACTCATGGAGACTGACTAGCACACTATTAAACAATGAATGGGTCAATAATGAGATCAAAGAACAAATCAGAAAGTTTCTGGAAACAAATGAATATAACACACAACAGTCCAAAACTTATGGGACACAGAGAAGGAAGTCCTGAGAGGGAAGTTCATAGCAATACAACCCTACCTAAAAAAGATAGAAACATTTCAAATAAATGACTTAACAATACAGCTTCAGGAACTGGAGGAACAACAACAAACAAAGTCCAGAGCAAGTAGAAGGAAGGAAATAATCACAATCAGAGTAGAACTGAATCAGAGTAGAGAGACTAAAAGAACAATTCAATGAATCAACAAATCCAGGAGCTGGTTCTTCAAAAAGATAAACAAAATTCACAAGTCTTTAAGCAGACTCATCAAGAAAAAAAGGGAGCGGACTCAAATAAATAAAATCAGAAATAAAAGAGGAGAAATAACAACTGATACTACAGAAATAGAAAGGATTGTAAGAAATTACTGTGAACATTTTATGTCAAGAAATTTGAAAACCTTAATGAAATGGACAATTTTCTGGGAAAATACAACCTTCCAACATTGAATGAAGAAGAAGCAGAAAGCCTGCACAGGCTGATATCAGCGGGTGAAATTGAAGCAGTAATACAAAAACTCCCTGCACACAAAAGCCATGGCTGGATGGTTTCACAGGAAAATTTTACAAAACATTTTAGGAAGAGATAACCCCTCTCCTTCTCAAACTATTCCATAAAATCCAAGAAGAAAGAAGACTCCCAAACTCTTTTTATGAGGACAGCATCATCTTAATCCCAAAGCCAGATAAAGACACAACAAGGAAAGAAAACTACAGGCCAGTGTCACTAATGGACATAGGTGTAGAAATTCTCCACAAAATATTGGCAAACTGCATCCAGCAATACATTAAAAAGATCATCTGCCATGATCAAGTGGTATTCATCCCAGGGATGCAAGATAGTTCAATATTTGTAAATCAATAAACGTTAATATATCACATAAACAAAAGGAAAGGCAAAAACCACATGGTCATCTCAATAGATGCGGAAAAATCATTTGATAAGCGACAGCACCCATTTCTGATAAAAACGCTCAGCAAAGTGGGAATAAAGGGGGCATACCTCAACGTAATAAAGGCCATATATGAAAACCCTAGAGCTAACATCATACTCAATGGACAAAAACTAAAATCCATCCCACTAAGATTGGGAACAAGACAAGAATGTCCACTTTTACCACTTCTATTCAACTTAGTATTGGAAGTCTTAGCCACACCAATTAGACAAGAAAAAGAAATAAAAGGCATCCAAATTGTAAAAGAGGACATAAACCTATCATTGTTTGCAGATGAAATGATAATGTACATGGAAAACCTCTTAGAATCCAACAACAAAAAAAACTACTCGACCTAATAAGTGAAATTGACAATACAGCAGGATACAAAATCAATATTCAGAAATTGAAGACATTTTTGTACACCAACAATGAAATATCAGAATCAGAAATCAGAAAATAAATCCCCTCTGCTATAGCCACAAGAAAAATAAAGTACCTAGGAATAAACTTAACCAAGGAGGTAAAACACATGTACACAGAAAACTATACAACACTGAGGAAAGAAATGAAGGAAGACATAAATAAATGGAGACAAACTGCATTCATGGATTTGAAGGTTTAACATTATGTAATGTCCACAGTACCCAAAGAAACTTGTCGATTCAATGCAATCTCTATTAAAATACCAATGACATATTTCACAGACATAGAACAAACATTTCAAAAATTTATATGGAACTATAAATTACTCTGAATAGCCACTGCAATTTTGAGAAAGAAGTCCAAAGCAGGAGGGATCACAATACCTGGCATCAAACTACATTACAAGGCCACTGTAATCAAGGCAGTCTGGTACTGGCATAAGAAGAGACCCATAGATCAGTGGTTTAGAATAGAGAGCCCAGAAATAAATGCATGTCTCTATGGTCAATTAATATTTGACAAAGGGTGGAGAAGAATAACATGGAGGAAAAATAGCCTTTTTAATAAATGGTGTTCAGAGAGCTAGACAGCTACATGTAAAAAATTGAAATTTGACCACCAATTGACACCATATACAAAAATAAATTCAACATGTATAAAAGACTTAAACATATGTCACAACACTATAAAAGTCCTAGAGGAGAATATAGGCAGGAAAATATCAGATATTCCATGCAGCAATATTTTCACCTGTATGTCCCCTACAGCAAGGGACATAAAGGGAAAAATCAGCAAATGAGACTTCATAAAAATAAGAAGCTTCTGCATGGCCTCAGGACATATCAGCAAAAGGAAAATGGAGTCAGCCATATGGAAAAATATATTTGCCAATGATACCTCAGACAGGGGTTTAATCTCCAAAATATATAAAGGACCCACCAACTCCACTCCAAGAAGACAAACAATCCAATGAAAAAAATGGGCAAAAGACAGGAACAGACACTTCTCCAAGGAGGATATACACAGGACCCAGAGACATATGAGAGGATGCTCAGCATCACTAGCCATCAGAGAAATGCAAATTAAAACCACAATGAGATACTACTCCACCTCGGTCAGAATGGCCATCATAAATAAATCAACAAACAGGTGCTGGCAAGGTTGTGGAGAAAAGGGAACCCTAGTACACTATTAATGGGAATGCAGACTTGTGCAGCCACTGTGGAAAACAGTTTGGAATTTCCTCAAAAAGCTAAAAATGGAACTACCTTTTGACCCAGTGATTCCACTGCTGAGATTATACCCTAAGAATCTCAAAACAGAAAGTCAAAAGAACCTATGCACTCCAGTGTTCACAGCAGCACAATTTACAGTAGCCAAGTGTTGGAAGCAACGTAAATACCCTTCAGTGAATGAGTGGATCAAAAAACTATGGTATATTTACACAATGGAATACTACATAGGAGAAAGAAAGAAAGAGCTACTACCATTTGGGACAGCATGGATGGAACTGGAGAGCATTATGCTAAGTGAAATAAGCCAGGCGGTGAAAGACAAATACCATGTGATCTCACCTGTAAGTGGAATCTAATCAGCAAAGGAAGCAGGCAAGGAAAATATGACTAGCAACATTGAAAGAAAGAAGAAACTTGTAAGATGGGAGGGATGGAGGGAGTGAGGTGGGTAGCTAGGGTGGAAAGAGGAAGGATCAAATCAAGGAACAGGTGTGAAGTACACATGGACAAAGCCAAGGTGCAGAAGGTTTGAGGGGGAGAAGTAGGGGTAGGTAAGGCAGGGGAAAGTAGTGGCAGGTAAATATAGATAAGTGTTTTGAAAAATTTAAAAAAGAGAAATTTTAAAAAGGAACTTGAAGAAAAAAATGAAATAAGTGTTCATGTATGATGGTATGATTCATGTATACCCAGCAGCTCTTCTGAGTGGCTGTTGCTTTCCCAATGACATCTCACATCTAAAACCAAGAATACAGTCAATCCACACATTACATTCTAATTCTGACAACCATATTTTTAACACTCTGATATGTCCATATTTCTACCATTTATATAAAACACTGGGCAAATTATGACCCAATACCAATAACAGCAATACCTGTCTTTTCTACCACATGAGGCTTTCGTGAGGATTCAGTCACATAATGCACATGACTACACACAGTTCTTTGAAAATTTGTGTATTACTACAAAGATGTTAGTTGATATTTAAAAAACTACCCAGCTTTTGCTTGTGCAATGAATGTACAAAGAAAGTTGAGCCATTACCTGGCAGCATCGCTAGGCTATTTTGGTGAACCTCTCTCTGAAAGTCTCCTTCATAGATTATCCAGTGGCATAGATTATTGAGTGGCTATAGACTCAATTCATCATGAAATTGCAACCCCTATATTTCCTCTTGTATTGCTCAGACTGATAAAATCTACCCTTGTCATGTTTAAGGAACAGTATCCACAGAAGTTGAAATCACTGAAGCTTCATTTACTATTATGACAATACTTAAGGGTCTGTCAGGTTTAGTTCTTGGATGTTTATAACTCAGCCATAAAAACCTACTCTAAGTTAAAAGCTGATCTTTAAGGTCACAGCACAAAAAAAAGATATATAGCTTGACTTTTCCTCTCATATTGAAGTGCTTGTAAATTTGCTTTGACTGTGGGCTTATAATGGGGAGGAAAACCAGGGCCTCACTTTCACACTAATATTCATTCTAGTAGCTGAGTCTTTTCTGCCAGTGGAGAAATATCTCACTCTTCGATGCCCAGCTTCAGTGGCTCTTATTGTGACACCTTCCTCAGTTCCCCTTTCAGAATTAATAGGCTCTTGTCCTTATGAAAATTATCTGGTAAGCAGCAATGCATATAGTCACACTATATAGCTGCTTTTTAGCCTATAATATACTTACTTATTCCAAATATTCTTCAGTGACCTCAATTCCTACATCTCTTTTCTCCAAGCTGTTCTGGACAGATTATGAACATGACTGAGTCATCTAATACAATAAGAATTGGGACAATAGGGGTTGGGTTAGTAAATTTAACAGTTTTAAATTAGAAACCAATAACCACTAAAAGCATTACTGATCCATACTGAAGGCCCAGAACTTGTAGTGACAGTAATCTGAGTGATTTATGTGCTGGATTTGGTGGTGTAGGATTTGAGGTAGTTGTGCATCCATCATGTGCTCAGGTTAGGGAAGATTGTGAGGACATGAGAAGGGGAAAGTGTCAGTCTTTGAGTCTGATCAGAGATTAGAGTATTGCAGTTAAAATGTGATGATCAGGTCTGGGTGTAGTTTTTGGTGTGGTTATAGGTGGGGATTTTGAATAAGTGGCACTGCTGTCTTGGGCCCTCTTATTTTTGTTTCTAACTGTTCACCTTATCATTTTTACTCACTATGAGAGTTTAAAGCACAAACCTCTACCTTCTGTCTCAGTCTTTCTCTTGCGCTTTAAGTAGTGCACTTTCAGTAGCTTCATATTTCTTCCTGTCCTTCCTGGAATCTCAAATTCAATATAAAGCAGATGTAGGGTGGTGTATAAAGCACTGCTTCTCAAACTTGCCCATGCATATGCACCTGAAAAATCTTGTTAAAATGAAGAGGTCAACTTCCTTAGGTCTTGGGTCTAGCCTGAACTCTAAATTTCCCAAGTGATATGGTATTGCTGATCTGAATACTACATTCTGAGTAGCAAGAATATTGAGCTTGAGCTAGACAGTTTTTATCTTGTAAAAATTGTCTTGGATATAGTAAGTACTAAATACATGTTGGATTTTACTATCAGTACCAATATTATATCTCTAGCATATGACTGCATAAATTACACATGAATTTGAATTGCACTTCTCTCTAAACAAGCAGGATATTTTCAACCATTGTTAATAAAATTTCCATAGCCATTAAGATTCTATTTTAAACACATTTTTTAACTGCTTGGTGTTCATATCAAACCTAAATATTTTCTAAGCAGAGTTGCTTTTGCAACCTCTCTCTACTCCTATTACCATGCTTGGGTTAGAGCTGCCATATCATATTAATTTTCTTAACCATGTTTTTATTTTCTGTATTTTGATGCTTTGATATCTGGGATTTTCCCTTCCAAAATTAGCCAATTACTGGAGATAACAAGAAAAACTCTCCTGGAGATAGTATGCCTTCCACATGCAAACTGACCAATGTAGAACCTTCTTCCTTGGGCTCTCACTTTCCTGGTCAGTATCTGCCAGCTCCCATCACCCCAGAGTCAGGAACAGACAACTAGAGACAGCTCATACACTTCAGAACCCACAAAATTATCTAAACTAATGAATCCTAACCCCACTTACCCTGCTCATTAGTTTCCTCCATGGTGCTTTTTCCTGTGCCCCCCTTAGTGTGATGTTACCCATTCTCTTGGATCTTTTTGTAAAACAAATAATTTTTGATGCCAATTGCATCTTAATCTGTTGGCCTCACCATACCAAAGTAATAATAAGATCTATATTTTAAAAAAGTATCGCACCTCCAATTTATACTATATTTTGATGGATCTTTCTTGAATCTCTTCTTTGTTTAAAATCTTCCCCTGGCCAACTTCCCATTGCTTTGAGGATAAAGTCACCATCTCTGATTTAACTTTCAGAGCCCCTAAACTGTCTTGTCTCTACATATATCTCTAACCTTATTTACAATCTTCGTTCCCTCCAGTCCTTCTGGTACCGGTCCATTTCTTCAAACATATCCTGAATCTTGTCTGTTCTTTTTTTAAAATGATGTTTCAAATGCATTCTCCTCCAAGAAACCTCCTGGGAAGCTTCCCTTTTCTGAGCTAATACAGAGTGTTCAGGCTCTCCTTTAGTACTTATGGATAACAGATTCTTGACATTCATGGATGTATGAGTTGAGTTTTGATTATGTGTGCTAGGCTTCAGATGTTATAAAGAATAGTTTTTATTGCTAAATTTTGTTAAAGTAGGGGTTTTATTCACGCTGTTGTAAGTGTGGTGAGTAAGAACCAATTGTTTATCTTCTGGGAATAACCACTGTGTGATTTTGTCTAACTCTTTCCCCAGCACACAGACCTTAACATGGTGTTTTTAGTTTCGCTCTCAAACATGTAGCATGTAAAGTAGCTTCCAAGAAATGTAACTTATAAAGATACTTTACTGTCAAGCTTTTTTATTTCTTGTGAATCTGGGAATTCACAAGGATATTGTGCTCCATCTCTTGCAAATGCCAGTTTCCTTGCAATAGTTATTTATGTAACTGCTTTATTTTCTTTCTAGGCTGTGATTTCTTGAGCGTAAAGACAATGCGATGACATGTTTATGAATCAATGATTTATTAATTAGATTAATTTAAGTGGCATTTGCAAACATCTGCATTAAATGATTTTTAAAGTTGATTTTAACCCAGAGATTTTATATCAATATTTGAAATTTAAGTAAATAAGAGAGTTAAAAAAAACTTAAAAATATCCAAACCTGAAGGGATGTTTATTGATTTTAGAGAGAGAGGAAAGGAGAGAGAGAGAGAAAAAAATATTGATTGGTTCCCTCGTGTAAACACCCTGACCAAGGATTGGACCCACAACCTAGGCATGTGCCCTGAACTGGGATCAAACCTGCAAACTTCTCGTGTATGGGCTGATGCTCCAACAAACTGAGCCACCTAGCAAGGGGAATAAGAGAGCTTTTATAGGTTTTCAGGAAGCTCCAAGTAAAAAGTTATTTTATAAGTTGACTTTTTCTGCAGGTCTATCCTAACACTCGTTGCACACAGGTCTTTTGGTGGATTTAATGGTTTAAAAATTGAAAATAGTTGTTGACCCACTCATATCCTCCTTCAATTCATTAAAAGAGATTAAAGTTAGTTTTACAAAAGCACCATATAGAGAAACTATCAGGATCTTACAACAAACTATATCAACCTGGAAAAGGACATAGAAACTACCAAAAAGACACAAGAGGATATGAAGAATACCATTTCTGAGTTGAAGAACACAGTAGAAGGAATCCAAAGCAGGCTGGATGAAGTTGAGGACCGAATCAGTGAGATGGAGGATAAGGTAGAAAGAAGCTCCCAGAAAGAACAAGAAATGGAAAAAAGACTCAAAAAGAATGAAGAAGCATGTAGGGAAATGCAGGACAACCTGAAATGCAATAATATCCGTATAATAGGGATACCAGAACGAGAAGAAGAGGACCAAGGGATAGAGAACCTCCTCGAAAAAGTAATGATGGAAAATTTCCCTAATTTGAGGAGAGAAAGGCTCTCATGGATCCAGGAGGCACAGAGGACCCCACTCAAGAGGGACTCAAAGAGGTCCACTCCAAGACACATCATCATTAAAATGGCAACAAACAAAGACAAAGAGAGAATCCTCAAGGCAGCAGGGAGAAGGAGAGAGTAATAACAAGGGGCTGCCTAGGAGCTGACTTCTCAACAGAAACACCACAAGCCATAAGGGAATGGCAACACATATTCCAAGTCATGAAAAATAAGGGCCTACAGCCAAGGCTGCTCTACAAAGCTAGGCTCTCCATTAAAATAGAAGGGGAAATATGGAGTTTCCCAGACAAGAGAAAGCTAAAAGAATACATCTCTACCAAACCAGCACTCCACGATATGCTCAAGAGACTAGTTTAAGAAGATGAAGGAAAAGAATGAGAGGGAGAGGAACACAGGTATAAAGAGAAAAGATGAGTAAGTTTCTATCAGTAATATCTCTCAATGTGAATGGACTAAATGCACCAACCAAAAGACACAAGGTAGCTGAATGGATAAGAAAACATGACCCACACATATGCTGCCTCCAAGAGACCGACCTTAGAGCAAGCGACCTACACAGATTGAAAGTAAAGGGATGGAAAAAAAATATTCCAAGCAAATGGGCAAGGGAAAAAGGTCACGGTTGCCATACTTGTGTCAGACAAAGTAGATTTCAAAACAAAAGCCATAAAAAGAGACCCAGCGGGGCACTTTATAATACTTAAAGGAAGAATCTATCAAGAAGACATAAACATTGTAAACTTATATGCTCCCAATATAGGAGGCCCCAAGTATATAAGGAGAATCTTGGATGACTTCAAATAAGATATAGACAGAAACACACTGATAGTAAGGGATTTCAACACCTCACTGTCAAAAATGGACAGATCTTCCAAAAAAAACAAGGATAATGTGGAGCTGAATGACACACTGAATCAAAGAGACTTAACTGACATATAGAGAACCTTACATTCCAAAGAAGAAAAATACACATTCTTTTCAAATGCTCATGGCAGTTTTTCAAAGATAGACCACATCATATGACACATAGCAAATCTCATCAACTTCAGGAAAACTGAAATAATACCAAACTTTTTGTCAGACCACAAGGGCTTGAAACTGGAAATCAACCTCAAAGAGAAACATCAAAAACTTACAATCTCATGGAGACTGAGAGTAGATTATTAAACAATGAAAGGGTCAATAATGAGATAAGAGAAGAAATCAAAAAATGTTTGGAAACAAATGAAAATGAACAGACAACAGTCCAAAACCTATGGGACACAGCAAAGGCAGTCCTGAAAGGGAAGTTCATAGCAATAATAGGTTACCTAAAAAAGATAGAAACTTTTCAAATAAAAGACCTAACACTACAACTTCGGGAACTGGAGAAACAACAACAAATCAATCCCAGAGGAAGTACAAAGAAGATAATAGTCAATATTAGAGCAAAACTGAATGACATAGAGATGAAAAGAACAATTCAAAGGATCAACGAATCCAGAAGCTAGTTCTTTGAAAAGATGAATAAAATTGACAAGCCTTTAAGAAGACTCAGCAAGAAAAAAAGGGAGAGGACCCAAATTAACAATAGCAGAAATGAAAGAAGGGAAATAACAACTGATAACACAGATATACAAAGGATTGTCAGAAACTATTATGAACAATTATATGTCAAGAAATTTGAAAACTGGGATGAAATGGACAAATTTCTAGAAAAGTATAATCTTCCAACACTGAAGGAGGAAGAAACAGAAGCTTGAACAGACCGATAACAGCTGGGGAAATTGAAGAAGTAATCAAGAAACTCCTGACACACAAAAGCCCAGGGCCGGATGGTTTCACAGGAGAATTTTACAAAACATTTAAGGAAGAGCTAACCCCTGTCCTTCTCAGACTATTCCAAAAAATCAAAGAGGAGGGAAGAGTCCCAGACTCTTTTTATGAGACCCACATCACCCTGACCGCAATACCAGATAAAGACCCTACAAAGAAAGAAAACTACAGGCCAATTTCGCTGATGAACATAGATGCTAAAATCCTCAACAAAATAGTGGCAAACCGCATCCAGCAATACATTCAAAAGATTATCCATCACGATCAAGTGAGATTCATCCCAGGGATGCAGGGATGGTTCAATATATGCAAATCAGTAAACGTGATACATCACATAAATAAAAGAAAAGACAAAAACCACATGATCATCTTGATAGACACATAAAAAGCATTCGATAAGGTATAGCACCCATTTATGATCAAAACACTCAGCAAAATGGGAATAAATGGGGCATTCCTCAACGTAATAAAGGCTATATATGAAAAACCTACAACCAACATCATACTCAACGGGCAAAAACTGAAATCTTTCCCACTAAGATCGGGAACACGACAAGGATGTTCGCTCTCACCGCTTCTTTTCAACATCGTATTGGAAGTCCTAGCCACAGCAGTCAGAGAAGAGAAAGAGATAAAAGGCATCCAAATAGGAGAGGAGGAATTAAAGCTATCATGCTTGCAGATGACATGATAGTGTACATAGAGAACCCTGTGGACTCTACCAAAAAACTCCTCTACCTAATAAGTGAATTTGGCCAAACAGCAGGATACAAAGTCAACATTCAGAAAACAAAGGCATTCTTGTACACCTGCAATGCAATAGAAGAAGAAGAAATTGGAAAAAAATACCATTCAATATAGCAAGAAGAAAAATAAAGTACCTAGGCATAAATTTAACCAAAGACGTAAAAGACCTGTACGCAGAAAACTATACAACATTGAAGAAAGAATATAAGGAAGACACAAATAAATGGAAGCATATACCGTGCTCATGGATTGGAAGAATTAATATCATCAAAATGTCCATACTACCCAAAGCAATTTATAGATTCAACACAATCCATATTAAGATACCAATGACATATTTCACAGAAATAGAACAGACATTTCAAAAATATATATGGAACCATAAATCACCCCGAAGAGCTGCAGCAATTTTGAGAAAGAAACACAAAGTAGGAGGGATCACAATACTGGACATCAAACTGTACCACAAAGCCACTATACTCAAAACAATCTGGTACTGGCACAAGAACAGACCCATAGACCAGTGGAACAGAATAGAAAGCCCAGAAATAAGCGCACGTGTATATGAGCATCTAATATTTGACAAAGGGGGCAGAAGCATAAAATGGAGATATAATAACCTCTTCAAAAAATGGTGTTGGGAGAGCTGGACGGCTACATGCAAAAAATTGAAACTGGATCATCAGCTGACACCATACACAGAAATAAACTCAAGATGGATATAAGACTTAAATATAAGTCGCAACACCATAAAAGTCCTAGAGGAGAACGTTGGCAGGGAACTCTCAGATATCCCACGCAGCAATTTTTTCACTGATATGTCTCCTAAAGCAAGGGACATAAAGGAAGAATAAACAAGTGGGACCTCATCAAAATAAGAAGCTTCTGCACGGATAAAGAAAACTTCATCAAAATGAAAAGGGAGCCAACCGTATGGGAAAATATATTTGCTAACGATACATCAGATAGAGGTTTGATCTCCAAGATATATAAAGAACTCACTCGACTCCACTCCAAGAAGACTAATGATCCAATCCAAAAATGGGCAAAGGACCTGGTCAGACGCTTTTCCAAGGAGGAGATACAGAGGGCCCAGAGGCATTTGTAAGGATGCTCAGCATCACTAGCCATCAGAGAAATGCAGATCAAAACCACCATGAGGTACCACCTCACACCAGTCAGAATAGCCATCATAACACATCCGCAAACAACAGGTGCTGGCAAGGCTGTGGAGAAAAGGGAACCCTAGTCCACTGTTGGTGGGAATGCAGACTGGTGCAGCCACAGTGGAAAGCAGTGTGGAATTTCCTCAAAAAGTTGAAAATGGAACTGCCTTTGAATCCAGTGATTCCCCTGCTGGGACTATACCCCAAGAATCCCCAAGCAGCAATTCAAAAGGACCTATGCACCCCAATGTTCATAGCAGCACAGTGTACAAGAGGCACGTGTTAGAAGCAACCTAAATGCCCATCAGTAGATGATTGTATCAAAAAATGATGGTACATTTATACAATGGACTACTACGCAACAGAAAGAAAAAAAGAACTACTAAACTTCGCAACAGCTTGGACGGATCTGGAGAGCGTTATGCTAAGCAAAATAAGCCAGGGGTCAAAAGACAAATACCATATGATCTCACCTATAAGTGGAACCTAACCAACAATAGAAAGATGCAAGGAAAATGAGACCAGCAACACTGAAAGGAAAAGAAATCAACAGAGAAAAGAGGGTGGAGGGAAGGGGGGCGGGGAAACAAAAGGGAAGGGGAAAGTCAAGGAACATATAGCAAAGACTCATAGACAGAACCAAAGGGGAAGAGCTGAGGGAGGGAAGGAGGGAGGGTGAAGGGAAAGTGGTGGGGGGTTAGGCAGAGACAAATGTTTGAAAAAATAAAGAAAAAAATAAAAATAAAAAATAAATCACCATATAGATTTTGAGTGTTCCTCTTAATGTTTACAAAGACTTGTTAGCTTTTTAAAAATGACAGTGTTATGTATCTAGGTTTTCACATTTCAATGTACCTGACCAATTAAACTGGAGAACACAAAAACTACCCCCCCCAAAATTTCCGCAGCTGAAAAACAATTTTCTTTTCTTTTTTAAAATTAATTATTTTTTTTGTTCATATACATTGTCTCTAGCTTCCTACCACCACTTTTCCCTGTCCTCATCCCCCACCTTTCTCCCTCAATCCTTCCCCACTTTGGCTTTGTCTATGAGTCTTTGATACATGTTCCTTGACTTGACCCTTCCCTTCCCTTTCCCCACCTCCCTCCCTCCTTCTCTCTTTACTCTGTTGATTTCTTTTCCTGTTGTTGGTCATATTTTCCTTGCTTATTTGTTTTTTTGGTTAGGTTCCACTTATAGGTGAGATCATATGGTATTTGCCTTTTACCACCTGGCTTATTTCGCTTTACATAATGCTCTTTAGTGCCATCCATGCTGTCGTTAAGTTTAGTAGTTCTTTTTTTTCTTTATGCTGCGTAGGATTCCATTGTGTAAATGTACCATAGTTTTTTGATCCACTCATCTACTGATGGGTATTTAGGTTGCTTCTAACACTTAGCTATTGTAAATTGCGCTGTTATGAACATTGGGGTGCATAGATATTTTGAATTGGTGTGAAAAACAATTTTCAATAAAGTTTGTGGTTCTAGAACCCCCCCCAATGATAACCAAACTTTGAAGTGCCCAGTAATAACATCTCAGATACATGTGAAAAGAGAAGACATACAGTTTGTTTTTTACTACAACAATAAAATATCACTATGCTTGGGGTATAGATTACTATTACTTTATAATACATGTCTTCTTAATCAGGGTTTGTTTCTATAGAAAGCATTGGGAAATACCATGCATTTTAATGTAAATTTATTGATAAACTTTGTGAAATGACTCAACAAATCTGAGGAGGGTGTTTACTAGCTCTTCCACTTGTCTCTTACTACAAAAAATTACTCAAAAATTTAATGCTATAAACCAACAACTATTTTAGTAGGCTTATAATTTTGTGGCTCAGGAACTTGTGCAAAGCCCAGGAGAGGTAGATAATCTATGCTTGTGACAAATGGGCTCTCAGCTGGGGAGAATGGCTAGAGATAGCTAGGAAGACTTGACTGAGACCAAGTGTCTGGGGTTCGAATTCTAACTGTTCTATGTTCCTCTTCTCCACACTATGTCTGCTTGCAAAGACAAGATAATAGAAGTTATGGGTTGGTCTCTGTCCCCAGTGTCTGCCACAGAGCTTCTGATACCACTGTAATTTTCTGGGTTATAGGAGAGTTTCTTTGTTCTAATGAAGTGACTCTAGGTGGGCTCCTGGATATCTCCTGGATGAGGACTGGTCACTGGAAAGACCAAGCCATATTAGAAGCTTGAAATTTTCATCCCCATCTCCCATTCTCTTGCGAAGATGGAACTAATGATGGATCATCTCTCTGTGATGAAGCCTGCATAAAATTCCAAATGTACAAGGTTCACAGTACTTCTTGGTTGGTGACCACATGGAGGTGCTGGAAGAGTGGCACCTAGAGAGGGCATGGGAGCTCTGATTTGCTTATGACATACCTTGCCCTATGCATCTCTTCCATTTGAATGTTCTTCTGTATCCTTTATCATATCCTGTAATGAACTGGTAACTATCTTTCCCTGAGTTCTGTGAGTCACTCTAGCAAATTAAATGAATTCAAGGACGGGTCGCTGGAAACTCTAATCTACAGCCAGTTGGTCAGAAGCACTGGCAACAACCTGGAGTTGTTCCTGGTGTATAGGGGTGTGTGTGAATGTGAGGGGAACAGTCATGTAAGACTGAACTTTTAACCTCTGGGAACTGATGCTGTCCCCTGACAGTGTCTGAATTCAGTTAAATTGTAGGACACTCAGTTGTTATTGCAGAGAATTGCTTGGTAAAGAGGGAAAGAAGTGTAATAGTGAAGGGAAAAAAGACACACTAGGGAAGAAACACAGCCTCAGTATGACTAGCCTGGGCTTCCTCACAGTGTGGTGGTTTCAGTATAGATGGACTTGCACTATGGCTTGTTTTATCCAGACAGTGCCATAAACCTTCTTGTAACTTAGAACTCCCACAAAGTCTTAATCTCTTGATACATTATACTTGCTCAGAAAGTCACTAAGGCCAATCCAGATTCAAGGAAGGGATATTTGAATCCACCTCTCAATGAGAGGAGCACCAAAGAAATTGAAGCCATACTGAAACTACCATGGTAGTGAATTGTGAGGATATCATAGAGTCGAAGGATATTCGTGCAAACTGGAGAACCTCTTACAGTTTAGATCCAATTGTTTATGCTGATAGAAAGTATATACTCCTCTCTCTCTTCTGCCCACATCTTATTATATTATTGAAGACGTAAACCATGGCAGAGACAGAGAACTAAGCTCCATCTTAAGAGGAAAATTGCTCTTAGGTGTAATAAGAAATTTACCTAGAAATTTAGTATTGAAGAAAACCAAGTATGCTCAGAAATGTACTTGACAGAGTTTGTACTTAACTTGATCAGTTGTAAATGAAGAGACTGAGAACATTATAGCCCAGATAGAAAGAGAATTAGAAACCAGGGCAACTGACAGGAATATGATAAAGATTAGGACAGAACATAGAAGACTCATTTAGTTACAGTGGCTAAGGGTTTCATGGAATTTATAGTGAGGTGAAAATGGAAATTAGCATTACGACTCTCTGTGAATATATATAGTAAATTTTGTGCATGGTCAAGTGTATTATTAGGTATATTCATATAGCTCTGATAACATGGTCTGATTCCACTGACTTCTTAAGAACAATGTTTTTTCCTATAGAAACACCTCCAGGTACTGTTAGAGGCATTCCGATTTAGTGGGTGTCAACTCACTACCCCAGGACCCTGGGCCAACACAGAAAAGGAATACTTTTTACAGAATCCTGCTTTCCTCATCAGGCTTTCATTTCTATTTTAGGCGTGTCACATAGAATATTAGGACTTAAAAGTCACTGTGTACAAGTGTTTGAACAAAGGTGATCTTTTACTTATGAAATAGTTTACAATTTTCAGATATTCAAGTAGTAAGCAGTTGAAGTTTACAAAGAAAGAATCTATCTGCAGTTGAAGTCAATATTATTCAAATAAAAACAGATTTAGAAATAAATCACTCATTTTGAAATTCAGTACCTTTTGAAGGATATTTTTATTACCTTGGAGGATATAGGAAAAGAAAAATAGTAAACTCTTTGGCAGGGTTTGAAACCATTGTACTGAGAGGATAAAGATATTTCCACTCTGCAATTTTTTTCTAGCAGGCTTCCTTGGGCTTACTAATATTGTAAACTGTATGTCAAAGAAAACACCTTGAAGAAGTATAGAATACATTTATGGATTGTATTTAAACTTTCAAATTCCTACTTATAATTTCTCATTATCTGATTTATTTTGGTCACAGGTTCCGGACCTAAGAATTTTTTAAAATTAAGAAAATTTATCAAACCCAATACTACCCAAGAGTGGAAGAGACTAGCTCCTCTTCCTATGTGACCGACTGTCACCTCCTAAGTCACTGTAGTGTTAACAGAACAAGCATATGAATTACTTTCTCTCATTTTCTTATTTATGGATGTTAAATAATAATCAAATGTGAATCTTAGGTATTGATTTTCCAAAACTGGAGGGTTAGTCTTAAACTGTGTAATGTTTGTGTGTATGAAAGAGTCTGCTGTGTTAATTGGAAGTTTTCTGCCCTGATGTTTTGAGGTTTATTTTGAGATTCTTTCCTCAGTCATGTCTTATACCCAGACAGGCACAACCAAAGGAAAGATTTGTAATTTAATCAGATGATATCTTACTGACTTTTTAGGATTACTGTAGCTTAATTACCTAGCTCCCTTTTATCACCCTCTGCTCGACTGAGCACTTCGCTGTTCTTCTGTTATTTCTTTCTTCCTTCTTCCTCCCTCCCTCCTTTCCTTCCTCCCTCCCTTCCTTCCTTCCTTCCTTCCTTCCCTCCTTCCTTCCTTCCTTCTTTGCCACTGTCTGAACTGAAGTATCTAGGGGACCCTGAGTAAATACCTTCATTTCCCTGGGTCTCATCTTCTTCATGTGTGATTCCCATGACAGCCTTGCTTTGTTACTTATTCTTGTAAGGATCCATGTGTCAGGGACAGGGGATTGGGATTGTTAAGAGGTTTTGGCACACTGGGAAATTTATGTCAGAAAATAAATATATGGACAAAAGTTGTTTTGGAGTATTTCTGGGTACCAAATAACCTTAATCACTTATGTTTTCCTTTTGAGCTGAGCCCTTTCCTTGTTCATCAAATTTCTAATGAAGAATGCTGTCTACTCTATACAAATAAAAGTGATGTCTTGTCTTCTTTGGAAATGCACAAGTACTATTATTCTGGTGAGGATTCGTGGAAAAGTAATAAACTTGGATTCTATTTTAAGTGTTCACAATGCACCACTTACATCACTCAATTTGCTACCTGACTCTTACTAGGATAAAGTTTACAAGTCCAATGGCTTCAGAAGCGGAAACCACAGGCGTGCAAGGTCAAAGCACAATATGAAGCAATAGAAGGAGCAGGTGATGTTAACTGTCCAATGCAAATTTTCTTAACATATGTAAAAATTCTGCTTTTAAAGGCATTTTCTTTCTGTAGATAGCAACCTGTGTCCCTAGTTGGTAACTGGAAAATGAAGCTTTGGTTCTGAGTGAGAGCCCTCCTAATTAAATGAGCAGAGTCAGAACCCATGAGGTAATGCTTATTGTCATAGAGAATGTAGGCAGTATTATACTAATGCTGTGAAATGTATTGAAACTTGCTTTCTGGTCATGAAAATGATTGTTTTGAAAATTTTTCGGTTAGTGAAAAGAGGAACAGGTGGTTTCTAATTCTTCAGTTCAAGGTTTTACTTATAGCCATTAAATCCAACTTGTCAATCGGGTTCTCAAATCTTTTACATCTTTGCCATTTTTGGTTGCTAGGTCAATCCATAGTTAAGTGTTTACATCTTGCAATTCAATGGTATATTTGTTGATTTCTCTTCCTTGTATTCATTTTTGCTTTATGAATTTCTTTGACTTATTATTAGATATAAGTATTTTACTAAGTGTATACACATTTAAAATTGGGATATATTAATGAGGAATTGAAACTTTTACCATTATATAGTGACATTCTTTTTCCTTAAAATTTTTTTTCTTTTTTAAGTTTTATTTTTAAATCATGTTTATTCTATTTCAGTTGTCTCAATTTCCCCCCCTCTTTACTCTCCTCCACCCATCTTGCCCCACCTCCCTCTCCCACAGTCAATTCCCACTCTGTTGTCCATGTCCATGGGTAATTCATACATGTTCTTTGTTTCATCCCTTCTCCTTCTTTCCACCATTGTCCTCCTTCCCCATCTCCTCCGGTCACTTTCAGTCTACTGCATGTTTCCATGCCTGTGGTTTATTTTGTTTGTTTATTTTGTTGAATAGGTTCCATTTATAGGTGATATCATATGGAATGCATCTTTCACTGGCTGGCTTATTTCACTTAGCATAATATTCTACAGTTCCATTCATGTTGTTGCAACAAGTAGGAGTTTCTTTTCTTTTCTTTTTTCTTTTCTTTTCTTCTCTTCTCTTCTCTTCTCTTTTCTTCTCTTCTCTTTTCTTCTCTTTTCTTTCTTTCCTTCCTTCCTTCCTTCCTTCCTTCCTTCCTTCCTTCCTTCCTTC